GTGTGTAAGATTTTTATCTCACATGCCCGTGCCTTTTGGCCGATTTTTGTCTAGGTGGCAACTCATATACTTTTATTCCATGTATTATGTGATAATATGTCCGAATTTAAAGTAGTAGAGGACAATATCTTGTTTCAGTAGGAGGTACTATCCTGTTTCAATTTACAAGCTGAAAAAGTATCAGAATTTACGTACGAAGGATTTCAACAATATCCTCTTCTATTCGTTGGAGCGAAACTCTAGCTTCATTTAGTGACATTAATTTTAACCACAATTTTAACAATTAATTATTATTTTAAACAAATTTTAACTACTACAGTAATAATTTATTTGACAATACAAATCTATTAATATTAAAATATTCAGTCATTACAAATCTTTTCCATATGTTTTACTCCTGTTTTTTCACTAATACATCTATAGCGATAAACTGTTTTACTAAAAGAGAACACACTTTCCTAGGCTTATTTCATAAAACCCCCCTATCATGAATACGTATTTTAAGACGTGCGAGACATTCGAACTGGAGTTAACAACGCAAATGGTCGGTATATTCCTTTACCAGCATTATAAAAGTTAGGAGAAAAGCTCGACAAACCTAACTACAATATTTTGATAAAAATCAACATTCACTTCCGCATCAACTTGACTAGTGAGAATGATGGCCCCCTCTCTCAAAAATCAGACAGTACGTATTCTTCTATGTTCTATTCTTACTTATATATTTTACATTGTAAATGTTATATATGTACAAAAAACAACGGAGATAAGACAACACCACACTACAAGGAATTTTCCATTACACCCTACCACATGCCATTACACATCTAGTGCACCCCACCACACATCTTATGTAGCGGCGTGCATTAAGACGTGGTGGAAAATCCCTTGTAGTGTTGTTTTTTTCCCCCTTGACGAAAAAAAAATTTACTAATAAAAATATATAAAAAAAAATATAAATATAAATATAAAAATTTAAAAATACGTAGCACTCATATGTAGTGCACACAGACACACCACACGTTGAACACACCAAATACAAAAATATAGTTTATAGGATATATAAAGTTAACAGATAGTCCAAGATTATATCACATAACATAATAATGTGGATGCAACAATATAAAGAGTTATAGTTGAGATTTACTTTTACTTTTTAGGCAGCCGTTACTTTGTCGTTAATCAGATTTTCGCAATACATAATAGTAATTCAAGGTCTCATTTTCGATCCCATATGTGATCTAGGATTAAACTAATGTTGAGAGTTCAGATGATATAGAATTTCTTTCATCACAAAAATATTCTGTATTTTTTAGTGTAATTTTCGTTTGTTGACAGTATGGCTTTTGATAAGATCAAATATTTGTTAGATTATATCGTGTTGTGATATTTGCTTTCAAACTTATAGTTTATATAAGTACTCCGTATATCATGCGCTGATTGTTCACTACTGCCAAAATTCTGAAATGTTGTTGCCCACATTGATTATTCTCACAGTTTTTTATCTGAGTGTTGGACAAAACATTCCTGTAACACCATTCACTCCAACGCCAATATGCATTACTGTCAACGATCTGCCTCCACCCTATAACACATCATCGGCCGATAAGCCCTCTCATGTCATTCCTCCACCAAAAAATCCATCATTATTTGCTCCTGACAAATTCACTGTCTCAATTTATCAAGATAAATTGGGTAGTCCTCGTTATCTCCAGTACACCAGCCAACTATGCGGCCTCTTAATCTTTTGTGGTTGAGGTGTGGCATCGGATTTGCTGGGATCTTCATATTCCCTTAAGTCTGATAATCTTAAGTCTGAAAAACTTATTTTTGAAAAATTCAATAAAAACGTTTTTGCTTGTAAAGAGATGCTTCACAAGCTGATCCTTTCATATCTAAAATCTCCAGTTCTCTCTTAGCATCCTTTAAAAGTCATAAAAAACAGCCATGGATCATTCTGTTTTGGAATGGATAATAGTAAGCTTCTTAGTATAAATTTTTTTATTTTAACAAGAAACAAAGGAATTGGTGCAGGAACAAAATCATAACTATTGTTGCATTACATCACTCAATGCACTATTCTATCAGAAAACGTAAAAGGAAAAAGAAAAACAAAGCAAGGAGGGGGAAAAGAGAGGTATGATATGAAGAAAAAGATAAGCAAAATCTTCTTTGATGCAAACTTTTATTTGTGAACATGTTAATCATCATCACTGCGAATATTAATTTTGCAGTCTAACTCAAGAAAATACATGTAACTAAAAAAAGTGGAAAACCGTCTCTATGAATTGTACTTGACTCGATAAATTCTGCCATTTCCATCATCTGTAAACAACAGACTGCCATCTTTAGCCACCAATACTCCAACTGGTCTCCCCCATGTCTCCGGCACCTCGGGTTTTGTCAAAAAACCGTAGAGAAAATCTTCGTAGCAACCCGTTGGACGATTATCCTCACCGAATGGTATGAACACGATCTTATAACCCGTTCCTGCGTTTCTGTTCCATGATCCATGGAAAGCAGCAAATGCGCCGTTTTGGTAACGTTGTGGAAACATTTGACCTGTATAAAATTGCATTCCCAACACAGCGGAATGAGCCTGAAACAGTAGATCAGGCGTTTTCGTCTTGTTCACGAGATCAGGTCGTTGACTTGACCCGTTGGAAAATGTGCGTCTAGGATCAATATTTTTTGGCGACAAGTATGCGAACGGCCAGCCATAAAAATCTCCCTGATTTACTTTTGTAAAATAATCCGGTACTAAGTCATCGCCTAATTCATCCCGTTCCTGAACAACAGCATAGAAATCCTTTGTAACCGGATGAAATGCGAGACCTACAGGATTTCTCATACCGAAGGCGTACGTTTGATTATCTGATCCATCGAAATTGGCCGATTGAATTGAGGCACGAGGTAATGGTTCAACATCAACGTTACTGCCCGAACCGACAGAGACAAAAAGATTATCTTTCGATGGAGGGATAATAACGGTTCGTGTCCAATGATGAGTACTCGGATATGTCATGAGCACTTGTCCGGTACCTTCAATTTTTTTCTTCCCATCTTGATATCGATATCGTCTGAGGTCACCAGCATTGGCCAAATAAAAAAAGCCATTATTGAAAGCCATTCCGAAACATCTGCTCAAACCATTTGATTGATCGGCAAACACGGTTGATTCGTCAACGATACCATCTCCATTACTATCGGCAAGCAATGTGATTTTGTTGCCGTTTTCACCTGTCACAAGTAAATCGCCTGTTGGTGTGTACTGGAGATAACGAGGACTACCCAATTTATCTTGATAAATTGAGACAGTGAATTTGTCAGGAGCAAATAATGATGGATTTTTTGGTGGAGGAATGACATGAGAGGGCTTATCGGCCGATG